AAGCTAAGGGATTTTGCCAAAGCCATCCCTGCTATGAAAAACATCCTAAAGGGAGTTCTGTGGACTGAGAACCAATAAGAACAGATAACAACCAGGGATTGATGACATGGCAGCACCACCTGGAAGTCAATCGACAAATGGAAGAGTTGAGAACAGAAGAAAACTATTCTGTTATATGTATATAAAACTATTCAGAGGATCTGGGAGGTCAGGCTATGATCAAAACACGTGAAATGTGAAAGAAGGTAAACACAGAGGAACAGAGATATAGGTGGTGTGGGAAGGTCAGACTGTCTAAAACAGACTGTCTTAGATGGAGGGGAAAGTTAATTGAATATAAGGTAACCACAATGGTGGGGTTGGGGTGAGGGTTTCGGGGGAGGTGGAGGGAGGCAACGGTAGAGCACAGGGTAAGGGCAGACACATCATTGGCTGCTGGGGAGGGCAATACAAGAAGGGTGAGGAAGCGGAAGAACAAGGTAGATAAGGGAACACTGAGACAGGTTTGCATGGGCTAAGTGGGACAGAGGTAAATAGTGATGCATGTTTAACCTTGGAACAACAGGGCTCTGTTGATTCAGGGATCTAGGCATAATTTGAAGAGGGTATAAATAATACTAAGATGCTTGACTGTCTTGTGAATATTGTGTTACCTTGTCTACTATTGTAAAAAAGACACTTGAGTGGGATAGAAAGGAATGTCAGGAAACATGATTACAGAAAACCTGTAAGCCCAACTTCAGCCTATAATTGATTGGAAAACCTAAAAGAGGTTCTTGTGAAAGAGGGCTCTTATGGAGCCTTTGCAGAGTATAGAACCTTAGGTGAAATCCTGAGTCCCATCCAGAACCTTCTGAAGTGGGACATTCCCAATAGAAAAGACAAACAGACCAGCCTGGAATAGCTAGAGTGTCAGAATATGCATCTTCCAAAAAGGGTCACCAGGAAAAACCCAAAACAAAAAATGTCAGTATGACAGGCTACTGCAAGAATAAGCAAGCTGTTCACCGGTAAGTCATCAAGGCAAGCAATCAAGTTCCTTTAGGACAAACCCCCCTCTAAGACTGAAACACAAAGGGAATACATAAGCAGGCATGTAAGCTTGCTGATGACCACACTGGTGTACTGCTGAGTGGAAGAGGAAAAAAGGCAGCAATGAAGAAATGGGCTGAGTTCAACCACAGTTCATTGACTTCCTTTGACCTGGAGATGAGAGAGAGAAGAGGAAGGGCTGTTGGTCCTAAGTGCAGTGAGACCTGGGGACACCTGAGCCGAAGCATCCAGCTGATGTGAAGTGAGGGGAGATGCACAAGAACACTCAAACTTGCAGATTGACCTAGTCTTGATGGCTTGATGATAATCAGAACTTGACTAGAGGAAGATAAAAAAACAAAACCATTTTTTTAATAAAGGAAACAAGGGTAAATTGCTACAATTTGATGAACCTGACCTATACTCATGGAGGTAGTAACTGTAAGATTTCAAGAGGGAGTTTAATTTAAGAGTGTAGGGGGGAAGAAACAGTCCCCACTGAATAGTTTTCATCTTGTCTAGATGGGTCTGGTGAAAAGAGATGGGGATAAGATTCTTATGATTCAACAGTGAGAAACTGTTATCACGACTAACTAATTGCGACGGTCACAATTGTAAACGTAGAAGTTTTGTTAACAAAAATGGAGGAGCAATTAATCTTACAGTCCTCAAACAAAGGATCGGAGGACCATCAAGGGAGAAGAGCACAAGCTGAATGCAGAACCTTATGCAGAGAAGCAGTAATACCAGAGATGGAGGTAGAGACAGGGACATGGAGAGAGTGAGCAGCTGAGGACGCTAGATTCATGGAAAGAGAGGGACTGAGATCTGGTAGCCAGGAGGAAGACATGCAGAATGTGCCCTTTGGTGGTATAAATTATTATAAATGCCTGAGTGTGGTTTTTTTTTTTTTTTTTTTTTTTTTTTAAGAGCTAAATGAATAGAGAGAAATACTGTTAACTGATGGTCCATGGAGGGGATTGTAATCATTGTGATGAAAATAGTATGATTTGTTGAATGTAAAACTGATGTTCTGCCCTGTAAACTTACACTCAATACACAATAAAAACTTAGAGAAAAACAAAACAAAACATTGTTTTACATTTTATAGATGAAGATTTGCTTTCACACGTTGGGACATTCCATGGACTTTTTCAGTCTGAACACTCAGATCTTTCATTAGAGAAAATAGCTCGAATTGTATTTTTGGTGATTTCCTTCTGTTTATTTGCTCTCTCTGAAGCTCCTAATTTAGATTTTAAATATCCTGGACTAACCTTCTACTTTTCTTTTCTTTTTCTCTCTTATCTCCCATTTCTGTCTTATATTCTTATTTTCTGGAGGAATTCTGCAAGTTTATCTTTGAAGACTTCTACTGAATTTTGTATTTCAGAGATGGTATTTTAATTTCAAATCATTCTCATTTTTTGATCTCAGAATTATATACCTATATGCCTATTATTTATGGAGTCTAGGTGTGGCACCATAGGATAAGCAGTCGGCCTCCAGGTCAGTTTGAACTGCAAGGTTAGTGGTTGAAACTCACCAGCCACTTCTCAGAAACCTTACACAGTGTTGCTATAAGTCGGAACCAACTAAAGGCACTTAACAACAACATTCCTATTCTTTAACATGGATGCAGAAGTTATTCTTATATCAACGAAACTACCAGTGATAGTTTTTCTGAAGCTGTCTTTTCATACCTAGAGTTAACTCTCCTGGTTGCTTTTTTCTGTATCAGATATTTCCCTCCAATGTCTGGCAGTCCTTAACTGCCTTTTTCATAAAGTTTGAAATTAAAAGTAAAAGAAAGTTCTACAGTTGGATGAGGTTTGTTGATAGCTTGGTCCATTATCAGGTGACCTGGATATTCCCTCAGAAAACCCTCAAGGTCATCATCTTCGTGTTTTGTTAAGATTTGTGTCTTTTACCTACAGAAAACTCTTCTAGTCTCTTGCCAGGAAGGTATAAACATACTGGTATTATGTGAACTTGAGAGAGGTCTGGAGGCCTCAAATACAGTATTTAAATTTGTTCTTTAGCCCTTTTTCATTAGGATACTCCTAAATTTAACTTGCCTGGTAGTTCTCAGACTGCAGTATTATGTTTCATGTTTTCTAGAGATGTAAACTTGTTGCGCCAGAGTGAGGAAGCAAATCTAATTGTTTCATAAAGAGACTTGTGACTTTCATCCTCATTTACAGTTACTGAGCTTTTAGAGGCATTGGCAATGCAAAGCAAGTTGCTTCTTGGCTTTCCTACTCCTGATTAGGGCTCAGCTTTCTTGGATTGCTAAATTAAGTGACCACTCACTGTCTCCTGTAAGTAACAGAATTTATTGCTATTATTTTTTCTCCTGTTTTCTTCTTCTTGGAGGGCATCATAATTTTAACTACCCTGACTGTTTTTGGAAACAATCCTGGTGGTGCATTGGTTAAGAACTAGGCTGCTGGCCTTAAAGTCAGCAGTTCACATCTATCAGCTGTTCTGTGGGAGAAAGAACTCGAGAAATACTCTAGAAAAGATTACCACCTAAGAAATCGTATGGGACAGTTCTAGTATGTAATATAAGGTGGTCACTGTGAGTTGGACTCAACTCAACATCACCTAACAATAAAACAATTGTTCTTGGAGTGGAGTTTTAGATAGGAGCAAAAGTAACTGCTTACATTTAAGCTATCATCTCTTACGGAAAAGCCCCACGTGATCTTCAACAAATTACAGAATTAAAATATTTATGCATTAAAAGGGACCACAAGAGAACATACAGTCAACTCATCTGGTTTCAGAGAACAAAGTACAAAGCTTAATTTGGAGGTGACTGGGTTGGAGCACCAGGAAGCTGAAAGGCTTGCCCAAGGTCATATGCAAATTTCCCAGGTAGATACCATGTTATTATCTATTTTATGCAACTTAAATCACTATCCCTCAAAGGCTTTTTCTTGCTATTCTGTTTCTGGTTTACATCTAGGAGAATTTCAGCAATAGTTAGATGTCTGTGTTAGCTTTCCATATGTATTCTTCTCATGTTAAAAAATTAGGTGTGCAACTGGTGATAAAATGTGGCTAAGTGTTTTAATTTCTTGTGAAGCTGGCTTATAAACATTTCAGATACAACTAGATTTTTTTAAAAAAAGACAGTTGGTATGCTTTAGATATGTCTTTTTGAGAAATGTATGCAAAAACTTTAGAGAGCAACTATTAAGAAAACATAATTTAAATGTACTCTGTTTTAAGTTTTTAAAACAAACAGTACAGTAATTATGTTAAAGTCCATCAATACTAAAAGCTTAAAAAAAAAGAAAAAGTTTGTTCATCATCTTTAATTTGGTATTCTGCTACTTAACCAATTTTAGCGAACATCCCCACAGGCTTGAATGAAAAAGCACTTATTTAAAAAAAAGGACTGGAGATTGGGCAAGATTCAACTTACTTTAAATTCACATAACTTCCCCGCCCCCAGTGTAATAGAGACTATAGCCTTAAGATAATACAAAATAATAAAATGGAGATGGTTTTGATGAAATCATTTCAATCCACAAAATTTTTTAACAGCTTTGTAAAACTAAACACTGAGGAAGTTTTAATAAATGCAGCACTCTAGAAAAGCATGAAGGATAAAGAGAAACCTGAATGTAAATACTTACAGATTCTTTTCTGCCCATAGTTTTGCTGTGTGAGCGTGAACGGGAGATGTTGCTGAAAAAGGAATCTTTTTTAGTAGCAGACAAAGGTGGGGAGTCAGTGAATTCTCTTCCTCCAGGCAAACTCTCAATGCTGGGAGATGAACTGATGTTTTTAGAACTTTGTCCTGTAAGAAAAATTGAGTAACAATTACTTTTCCTATTTTGTTACACTAAACTATTAAATTTACTGTCTTTTCAACAAATGATTAGTTATGAGACTAATTGTTCACATTGTCAATACACAATG